CTGTGGTATTACATATTTACATTAGTGATCTAGTTGTACAGGAGATGAATATTTGAGACTGTCTTGAGCTTTCAATTTTGAATTTTTTTCATTCCCAAATTTGTTCCATCTTATTGTACAATTATAGTATGATACTTTGTTACATATAAGTACAGATTTGGGACAGTGCTGATATATTTTAGTTTATGCAAACCTTTAACCCTGTTTATCATTTTTCGTTAGATTCACTTCAGAAAGTCTCACATTGGGAGTAAGACATACATAGGCGATTCTATATCTGGTAGGGCTCGAACGCGAGACCTCTGATTAAGGATCAGAGAGTACTGCCTCTCCACCACAATGCTTGTTGGCACAGTAGTGATCATATTAACTGTCCATATCAATAGTGATAGTTAGTTGCCTTTTTCATGCCAAATGGGACCTATATTGATTCACAATTTGGCATTGAAACCTTCCAATTAAAAAAAAAACAAACTAGAATCTTATATGAGAGATTACAGACGAAATAAGATTCATAACTAACAAAAAAACAGGAAAGAAAACACACGACACATTAGATCAAAATACGTCCAGAACCAGCAATGAGAAAAAGCAGTAACAAGTTTGTTTATTGGAACCAGTAATCAGATGGAGGCGTTGCGTTGTTTCGTTCTTCATTGTTGTGATTTGTCCAACTTCATCAATCACTGCGATTCATAACCACGAGAATCAGTGCAATCACTCCATCAACTATGTATAAGTATTATATTTCAACATGCTAGCACAAATCAAACATTCAGGATCTAAGTATTATAGTTCTTCACAAGTGCATTCTCCACCCGCAATACAAAACAAATCCATTAAATTTTCTCATAATGTTACAACTAGTCAAATCAGTGGATGATTTGTTTATTGCCTCTAAACAAATGTCAATAAAAGTTATTTTTGTGGTAGTGTGTGCAGGAAGAAGAATGAACTCTACTAACAACTTCAATGAACACACTACAGAAATGCAAATTATATAAATTAAACGAACTTAGTTACCTCTCATCTTCATCCTCTGTTTCTTCGTGTTGGTTGCCAGTCAAATGTGATGTGTGGACATCAAGTCTGTCCTCTCCTGTGAAATCTGCTACATTTTTCTTAATCTCAATGGCTGAATCTCCAAGCTCACGCCCAACATAACTTAAATCAATGGACTTTAAAGTGTCTATATCTATAAATGCACAAGGGATCTCGCAAAGTGCACAAAGTTTTAGTATTAATTTCTCAAGCTTGGGAAAAGTATCGCTCTCAACTTGCCATTCTGATAATTGGACATCTCGCAAAATCAAAGTCTTAAGACTTAGATAGATGTCCTCACTTGCGTCCCATTTGTTATCCACGAAATTACAGTGGTTTAACTCAGTAATATCAAGCTTAGGCAATGCTGCGATTGCTGACAACAAATCAGGTCTCAGGAGAAAACCAGACAACCGTAACTCTTTCAAGCTTGTAGGGAAGTGATATCCATTGGGTTGTCGGATTAACGAGGGATATTCATTGCGCTTGTGTCTTGCTATGAATGATTCGAGTTTATTAAGTACATCAAGCTTGGGAAACCAATAGTCGTGTGTAGGAGGATACTGCGATTCCATGATGATGCAATCAAGGTGCTGAAGAATTGGGAACTTCTCCAGAGCATCATCACTCATGCCTTCAGAATATGAGATAACAACTCCGGATAGAGTTGTCAAGTTTGAAGAATTCCCAGATTCCAATATTCTACTTTGGATATCCTCTTTCTCTTCAAAGAAAGAACATACGTTAATTTTCACATGTTTCAGCTTTGACAGTTGCAATATTCTAGGCAGTAATACCATGGTGGAATAATGTATATTGATGAACAGAGTTTCCAGATTCTGGAGGTTCAACCACGATACTGGGATAGCTTTTCCCAAAGCATGAATGCTTAAGAACCTCAAATGAAATAAGGACCCTATTTCTTCAATTAAAGAACCTTTCAGAACAATGAAATCCAGTTGCAACACTCTAACAAGTCCAAAGGGTCTTGTGTGACAGATATATCTGAAGTCATCAAGTGGACCACTCACTTTTAAAGATATGAGATGCTTACTAACAGCTAAGCACTTATTAGAATTGAATAAAGCACATTTTTTGTGGAGTTTCCTGTTGTCAGTATGAATGGTTAGACGATGGTGTAGGAAATCTGAAGCATGAAATGTATCACCTGAATTGATTAACTTGAGAAACTTCTGCTTTTTGGCTTTTTCTGAACAAAAATCGTGCACAACATCATGCACATAGCAAACCTTGATCATTGAAGGCATCCACCAAATACTCTCGGAGGGGATATGATCCACCATTATCAGGCTACTGGAAATTAGAGCATCCAAGTAACTTTGAGTTACTTCCTCTAAACTATCATGATCCACAAACCCTTCGGCCATCCACAACTGCATCAATGTAGAGACTGGAGTTCGTTGGCTCTTTTGAGTTGTTGCAAAGTAAAGCAGCAACGGCTTCAGGTGGCATGGTAAATGGTCATAACTTAATTGCATAACCAAATTGATGTTGGTAGAAATAAAGGAATCCAGATTATGTAGTATCTTAAGCCAAAAATCCTTTTCCTTTTTCTTCCCTCTAACAATTACTCCAGCAATCAAAACAATAGCCAAGGGAAGACCCTTACATTTCTCAACTATTTGGTGTCCAACTTTTGACAGTTCAGCAGGGCAGCTTCCTTCATCTCCAAATACCCTTTTTTCGAATAAATCCCAACTTTCTTCAGGTGTTAAAAGTTCAAGGTTGAGAGGATCACTACGGCATTTAACTTTCAAACCTACCTCACTACTTCGGCTAGTTAAAATAACTCTATTTCCTCTCTTAACCTTAGGAAAACAGGCTATTAACATCTCCCCAGTTGCAATATCCCACACATCATCCAAGACGATGAGATACCTTTTATCGAGTAGTGCTGTTCGTAGCTTTTCAGCCAGGTCATCCACTTTTTTTTCTTCTTCAGAGGCAGTAACTTGCTGAAGAATCTCCAGCAACACCTTTGACTTGTTATACTTTTGGGAAACAGTGCACCAAGCACGGACATGGAAATGACTAGCAACTAATGTATTTTTATACACTTTGTTGGCCAGAGTAGTTTTACCGAGTCCTGGCATTCCGACAATGGAAATGACATCAAGCTCAGATTCATGTTCATCAAGGAGCTGGTCAATGATCTGGGATTCTTCTTTCTCATGACCTACTGTTACCTCAACAAAAGGTGATGAAGTTGACTGAGTTGGCTGGGAGGAAGACTTTGCATCAAGGGGGCCATCCCCATTCTTATCCTCCAGCTGAAACCTGGTGACTTGTTCCACGATAAGTTTGATCTTATCAGTGACACTCGGAAGTGAGAAGAGGAGATGCGAGAGAGCTTTATCTCTGACAAGAATGGAATTAATGACATGTTCTGCCTCATATGCCACATCCAAAGCACGCACCCAACAATCTTTAACTACTCCACTAGTACTCTCATCCAATGTTTTCCTGACTTTCCTGAAAGATGATATTAGGAATTCAAGGCTTTCTTTCACCATCCCAATTTCTTTTTTTATGAGAAAAACTGAATAAGCATTGGAAATGAGTAAATCATTTAAATGTCTGAGTAGAAGATTCATGAAGAGGAAACCATCATCCATAGGAAACCGAAGTTGAGATGACTCAGGAGCTTTTAAAAAAATGTGTCTGATATCTCCCTTCATTTGTTCAATTTCTTGCAAAAAGTCCGGAGCTGAAAAGTCCGCTTCATTGATATTATCCTCAGAGATCTCCTCCAACAGCTTGCTCACCAGAAAAGATATTTTTCTGGTAAGCATTCCAGCATGTGCCAACATATCGTTCAATTTTTCACGATGGATAAACCGCTTTGGCATATCAGTGAGAAAGATCAATAGGAACTCCATCATGACACTAATGCTTCGAGTTGGAGCATAATTGACGGCTACTACACCGGCCATGCGTCCTTGGAGATGAATGAGATAATGTTGAAGAATCCTTGGAGATGTTTTTAGGATTTGCTTAACAAATCCTTCTAGTTCTTTTGACGTTGATTCTTTGATGAGCTTACAAGTAGAAATGTATAGAACCTCCAACTCAAGAGGGATTATGTCGATGAGTAGAGAAGTGATCTTGGAAGAGCATTCAGAGACATAATGATGTCCAGTCCAAAGATCAAAACAGAATTGTGTTACTCTATGAGTAGTAAATTGGAAGCGAGGATATAGATATTCAGTACTTGTTTTGTTGGCCGCGAGGATAGGATAGAAATCTATCAGATGTCTGCATACTTGCTGAAGAATCTTGTATTCAGTCATCTGGTGGTGAAGCAATTGAGAACGGTACTTTGGTAGATCATGGAGATGTCTGATGAGGTATTCATAGAATTTTATGTCTATCGCCGTGGCTACATAATCATTCTTCAAATTCAAACAATTTCCTATCTCTTCAAGCAGCAGAGGGGCAAGACGTTCCATGTGGTATTTCTCTAGGATTAACTCATCTCTATGGAAAAGGAACTGAGTACGTACATTGAATTTGAATTTATGAGTACTCATCCTGAAATAAAAGCCATTCAAATTCGTCGAATTCCCAAACAAGACAAATGTTCTAAGGAATCTTAGATCCATTCTTAGCTTTTCAATACCATCCAATCTTGAAGCAATGAATTCTTCTTCTTTGTTCATTATTTGCTTCAAGCCATTCAAGAAATCATCAATAAGATTCGTGATTCTTGTTTTTTGTTCCTCTAATAGTAGCTGCCAAATCAAAAACATATTCATCAGCAAAATTCAGTTGAAAACTTTGGCTCTTAACACTTGAAACTACAGTATTGGTAGACAATAGACATACCAATGATTTTTCTCCTTTTTCCATTCAACCAGCTTTCAATATCTACAAAATTTGATTTTTCAAACTAATTACATGCACATTTAATAAGGATAAAAGAATTAGAAACACAAGTAAAAGTAACAGAAAGAAGAAAGAGTTAAAAGAATGTCAGCTGTTATAAATTCTAAATTTGGCTCAAATATGTTATCGAACTCTGTAGAAAAAGAAAAGGTTCATTTATGTTATCAGTTAAAACTTTGACTCATCTATGTAATTATCATTTGAGAAAAAATACATTTATGCCATTATTTTTTACCCCAATAAGATCCCAAATAACTTTTAATACTTTTCAATTGGAATTTTAGATCAAATGGATTCTTTTTGTTTCTTCTACCTTAAAAAACAAATGTAAAACTCTCAAATTTCCAACTTCTTCCATTCTTCGCGAATTCACCTCAAATTTCCGCCACTAATTAATTTTTCTTTTAATAAGCAAAAATTCTAAAATATATAATCTGTAAATCAATCACATTTAAGAAAGAGTATATTTACTAAAAACAAGAGTGAATACTACAAATTATGACAATCATCTAACATTTTATAATTATCTAAGTCAAAAATACAAATTAGTTTTCTAGTTCTTGTAATGTATGTTTCTTTCAAATGAAGTAAATCACAAAAATACATGTAAAATGAAAACTAGAAAAACATTATATTATACCTTTTTCTTTACTCTCAAATGGTAGTTTGCCTTGTTGCAGATTTACAAGAAGCAAATGTTGAAGTTAGTTCTGCAAATGTTGAACTTTCAATTAGTTTATCAAAGTCTAGAGATCTGAAATAGATTAGTTTAAGTTTACTGCTCACTCCTCCTATTTTTAATTGTCAGGTTACACTTTCCAAAAATTTGATTAATTTTTAAAGTTAAATTTAATTATATTAATTCGATATTTCAAATAAATAGATATCCAATATGAAAAGTAGTATAAATTAAACGATAAAAAAAATACATCATAAAATGTTAATCAAAATTATTATCGTTTAACTCTAAAAAAAAAACATTTGTAATTAAAAGTGGACAGAGAAACTATTAATTTGAATTATTAAGTCCATAAAAATATTTGCTGGTGGATCATTTACCCAAAAAATTATGAGATTTCATTTTGTAGTCCTTTATAATTTGTTTTAAACTTTATGATTATTTATTAGAAGATTTTTGCTTTTTTATTTAAACAATCTGAAAGATTAATTTTATTTATTTTTTAAAAAATTCAATTTATAAGTGATAATAAAAATATTTACAATGTTGAAACGTTGAAACAAAATCTGAAGTATGTATATTTAATTCGGAAAAGGATTGAAATTGCCTCTAAACTGTGTGAAATATATTACTTATACTCTTGTTAACATTTTGAGATAAAAAAATAATACCTCGTTATTATCTCAAAAGGCCACAAATACCCTTAACAGTTAACACCAAAATTTTTTAATGATGTGACTGATCCTGCTGCCAACTATATTCCCACTAACCCATCAATTCATCCTCCCAAATCAAATCCTAGTTTTGAGAGAAAAATTAAATCTTCTCCATTAATGTTTGGACATATACAAGTATCCTCCAATTTATGTCTGAAATTTTAGAGACATACTAATACTATATTAAGTTTCTATTATCTCCGAATTTATTTTATAAATAATTTTCTACCCCTTTTTGACCTACGTAGCATTAGCTTTAAAAAATTGTCAACACGCGCTGGATCTAGAAGATAGTGTCACATAGGTCGAAATGAAGTGATAATTATTTATAAAACTAGTTCCAGACACGTGCGTTGCACGTGTTCCCCAAGCTAAATTGCATGAAGTTGTTGTAACGATGTGTTTGTATGACCTCTTTGATATTAAAGATGAAGAAACCACAAATATTGTGAAATAAAAATAATTATATGTTAAATGGTGCATACATTTTGATTTAGTAATTTGCTGATAGAATAAAAATAGATCAACAAAAAAATAATTACAAATTAAAATAATTAATTAAGAAAAATATATAGAAAACTTTCACATATATAAGAAAATATTAGGCAAAATAGAAGGCATACCACTATATAAGAAAACTCACATTTATAAGAAAACTTTCAAATTTTCTTTTCAAGAAAATCAAAAAAGTCTTTCTTTTGTAATGGAAGATATATGTACGTTTTTCTTGTAAAGACGGTTTAACTTAACTAAGAGAAAAGTAATTAATTAAATTGGACAATTTGAACTTAAACTTCATATTAGAATTAAAATGAATTAAATAAAAGAAAATGAAGGATAGGAATCAAAGTCTCAAACATCTTTACATATTTCACCTGTAGCTAGAGACTTTTAATAGATGAATATGGTCAATATATTAAATTAAGTGTATTTAATTATTAAGTAACCCTTCAATTTCTTCAAATTTTATAATCTCAAAGAGTGTTATACTCTATACAAATTTATAGGATAATTCTAGTAATCCAACCTTAACTTTGTTGCTTCACACTTTTAATAGAACTAATAATTCTATTTTTACTATAAAGTTTGTAAAATAAAATAGTAAATCAAGAAAAAGTACTTTAAAAGTTATACAACTTATGTGGTTATCAAAGCAAGAACAATTATCAACCATGCAAAGACTTAAATCATAAAACTCAAAGTCTTATTGTGTACGATAATATTTTATTTGTAGTTATTAATTTATCAAATATGAATGAAAATAGAAATTTTTTAATGGTAAATAAAAGAACACCTCTAAAGAATCAACAAAAATATTATAAAATGAAGCTAAAATTAACAATGTGAAAGAAAAAGTAGTAACAATGTGAAAGAAAAAGAGATGACAACTTTCTTTATCTCTTCCAATTATTTAAAATCTCTTCGATAGGATATAATTGAAGGACTCAAAGGATTGTCATGAATATGTCATTAACCCATTTCATGGATGAAAGGTGAAAGTAACAAGTATATTATTATGAACATCAACAAATGTATAATATCTTCATTTCTAATATAATAACACAAAATAAAAATTCCACTTGAACACATAATAGAGAAATCTTAGCAGATCTTAGTTAATCTACAATAAAATTATCAAATAAATATTAAGATACAATAAACGAAGAGAAGTAGCTATCATCAAAACTAAGACAATATATTGTCACGACCCAAATCCGGGCCGCGACTGGCACCCACATTTACCCTCCTATGTGAGCGAACCAACCAATCTAAACCTTAACATCTCAATATAATATCAACAGAAAATAATGCGGAAGACTTAAACTCATAAGTAGAAATCAATAATCAACTTCTATAACTCAAAAACTTATC